AGACAGTGGAAGATGTGGAACAATTACGAGGGTACCAGCTGTGCGTCCTTATTCCCATATGCTTTCTTGATAAATTCAAGCTCTTGAACCATGGGATTATTTTACTCTGTTTCAGCAACTGTTACTATGCTTAGGAAAGAACTACACATTACATTTAGTTCCATGGTCATTTGAAGATTTTTTTTCTCCTTTCCAAATGTAGATTTTGGGGTCGTTTTTTTAGAGGGCAGTACAATATGGGGAAAGATGGGATCTTTAACCCTTTTTTTAACCCCAATACCTTATCCCTGCTAGAGAAAATGTACCTATATTTTTTCCCCCAAGCAGGGCTAAAAAGGGCTCAGGGGTTAGCATCTACTCCTCCAAAAAGTAGCTTCAGTGTCTGTATCTGAGAAAGAAAAGTACTCTTTTAAAATGTTCACAGAACTGAATGAAATGTATAGTTTTGCCTTAAGTATCAAGAGATACAAGATCTGAAAATCCATACGTTTCTACTTCAAATAGGACAAACTTTGCCCCATGATTAAAACAAAACTTTTTTCTCCTCATTTACCACAGATACAGTCATTGTTGTGGAAAAAGCAAACAACAGGAAATCAACTCATACATTTGATCTTTTACCAAATACTGGCATCGTCGGTTATTGGGTTCTCAGTTTGATGTCCAATGGATGCCATTGTCTTGTTGGCTGAAGAAGATCAATCTGTCTGAGTCATAACAAGCAACTGTAAGACATTTCTTTAAACTATAAAGATGCTTAAAATAAACATCGTCTTTTTCTATGACTTTGGAAAGATGAACACATTTTCTAAGCCTATTGTTTTTGGACTGTGAACTGTTCTATGTGGCTCTAGTAGAAGAGTAATCATTTCCTTTCAACAAACTGCTTCATCCAGTTCTTGGTTCTGGTTACCTGCTGGGCCTTATGGTCATTCCTTCTCTTCTCTAATTTGAGGATTCAGCAAAAACAAAGCAAAGCACTTTGGATAAAGAGTAGTACGTATTTCAAACATACAGAAAAGAGTAAAGGTTCGTTGATATTTTCAGAGCAGCGGGGGGGGGGGGCTATTCTATTTTGTCTTCACAATAACCTCATATGATAAAATAGGTAAGACCGAGAGATAATTTTTTGCCAAAGCCATGCATTTACCGTCATGGTTGAGCAGAAATTTGAACACAGGGTGTGGTTAAGATCTAGGATGTACCTAATACAGTCATCCTAGCTCTAGGGATGTAATTGGGGGCTGGACCTCTGCTCAACCTGTGGCTAAACAAAATCAAAGATTCAGGAACTCTGGAGGGCCTTTACTTGTACACACACATGCACCCCCCCCCCAAAAGCAATAGTGCACAATCTCACTAGTTCCTGATCACTCTATTGCATATATTTCTCAAGTGCAGTGCTAGGGACCAGTTCCAAAACTCTCTTGCTGTGTGTACTGAGCAGCACTCGCACAAACATTAACAGAACCCCATCTGTGCACACATAAATTCATGCACCTGCAAATCCACTGGGTAGGAAGGAAGTGCCCTTCTCCTTCACAGAATTCTTCTCTGTGGCCTATAGGAAAAGTTAGTTGACAGAGAATTCCAGTTAAACGGCATTCTGATACAATCTCAAGGATGTTTCTGTGGTGCAAGGGGGTGTTTTTACTGGTTAAGTACCATTTACTCCACACTAAATACTCAGATGCTCACTGAAATTGTAAGTCTGTTTACTGCTCAAAGAAAGGCCTCTCTACCCATCAGCAAGAACTGTTGTAAACTTGTACTAAGTTCTAAGATAGGGGAACTGACTGGCTGTATTGAGATGTCAAGGCAAACTAATTGGTCGTAATCAGATTGTCTGCTGTACTGTCCTTGCTCCTCCAACTTCCCTCCTCCACTAGAACACGGAGCTCGTTTCAACACTTGCCAATTTGCCATGATGTCTTAAACAGCACACACATCCAGCTGGAGTTTGTTTTCTCCCACAAGCTGGGATTCTAAAGTGGAAATGAGGGAGTTAGAAGTGAGAGGACTGTGCAAGGAAAGCAAGGAAACTATCGCTGTGTGTGATGGCAACAAATCTCAAATTAAACAGTTTGTTGTGCCGTCTGAATGCCGCTACTGTGGGCCAGTACCTTTATGACAACAAGCCATAGACAAAATACTGCTCTTTTCTCCAAAATAAAAGTGTGGAATGGAAGGAAATTGTGAGAGCTGGGCTGCAGTCCTAAGCATTGTTCCCTCTAAGCTGAGTTAGTGTGAGCTAGCTCACAGTTTTTTAGCCTCCGGCTCACACATTTTTGTCTCAGCTCAGGAAGGATGGCTCCAGAGCCAACTAACTTGTTCAACAGCCAAACCGCTCGCTCACAACTCTAATGCCGGTAGCTCACAAAGTAGAATTTCTGCTCACAAGACTCCACAGCTTAGAGGGAACATTGGTCCTAAGCATACTAATTAGAAAGCAAATCCCATTGAACATGCTGGGACTTGCTTCCAAGTACTGGATTGGGCTTTTATTTTCCTGAGAGCAAGGAGATACAATAGCCGTGTGTTTCTCTTATTCCTGGCAGGTGGCATGAAATGCATGCATTATCTTTCCATAATGCCTGTGTCATGGCTTACCTACATAAAAGGAATGGAATTAGAGCAGTATGTGATATGTGAGAGCACTGATTTCTTATGTATATATACATCCAACCTTTTTTCTTTTTTAAGTAGGGAAAATTCCTAATAATCTTTTATGGCAGAGAGAGAGAGAGAGAGAGAGAGAATAGTAGAGGTTATATTGTGGTGTTTTTGTATTTTAAAATGTGCAAATTGAGTAGGTATTGCAGAGTACAGCAGCAAGCACTGAAATGCTAGGCTAGGGATCCCCAACCTTGCTGAGCATGTGGGCACCTTTGGGCTTTAGAACACATTGATTGGGTGCCACCTCAAATGGCTGCCACGAGGACCAGAGCCAACGGCAATATTTTGGGAGTTTACAAGCCAAGTGTTTTATGTTAAAGACAACTGTTTTTAAATGGGGGTTCTCTGGAGACATAAAGGTAATGCTTCCTGGGCTCTCCTGAAGCATCTTCTGCTCCAGGGAGTTGGAAGAAGGCCAGGACTGATTCTTTGCCTTGAGGAACAAAGAAGTGGGGGAAACCAGGAAACAGATCAGCAAGTACCATGGCGTGGACCTGACCCCTGATCCTACCATTCCTACTTAGCAAAGTTTGAAGCCCTGCTCCAGTCTAAAGGGTCTTTCTCCAACTTAAATGGCTCTTCCATTGGAAGAAGAACCATTTAAGCTACAGAAAGTCTCCTTAGGCTGGAGGAAGGCTCCTTGGGAGCTTGTTGGGTACACCTCCATGGTACCCACAGGCACCACAGTGAGGATCACTGTCCTAGGCCCACAGCAACAACAATCCAAGCCCTGGCATACTTCATCAGTTCTCTCACTAGGGATCCCAAGTCCCCCCGGGGGGCGGGGAAACCCCCGCCCCAGAGGCCCGTTCCCTGGCGGCGCCGGATCGGGCCCCGGGGGAACTCCTCCCCGACGTGCGCATCACCCGGAAGTGACGGGAGGACGTCAGGCACGCTGGGGGCGGGGCCACAGCCATACAAGGGAAAACTCTATCGTTTTCTCCATGGGTGCGCGCACACCAGACGCCGGCCGGGAGCCCCCCGCTCCCGGCGAAGATCAACTTGGCAACCTATCTCTCACCCAGTAAACCAAAACCACTTTTTACAGCTGCACTGAATTGAAATTAGGCCATGATTTCCTGGGTGGGTATGACTTCCAGGAGGTGCTGTTCATTTTTTTGAGAGGTTGGAGATATGTGGTTTTAAGGTTGTGCGGAGCCAATTAATTGCCATTTGCAGGAAGGCAGAATCTGGTGGAAACAGCTTTCCATGCATGTAGCCAGGGAGACGACAGAGGCCTATGTGCATGAGCGCCCATATTGTAGCACTTCTCCAAGCCCCATTGAACCAGCTAAAGTAATGTTTTGAGATACAGAAGAGTGCATTCCTATCCAGAACGATAGCCAAGTTAGGCCTGCCTGATAACTTTGTTGGGATTTACTGATACGCAAGTATAGTACCCTGTTATTTGCCATTCAATATCAAAGCTAAGATGATTATTATTACTAGTGCTAGTATTAAAGTATTAGTGAGGATGCACTTTATTTTTTCTTGTATTTGTGTTCTAAGTTGTTTTATCTAAATAAATGTTTTCCTTTGTTTAAAATGTGCTTTGCATTGTTTCAGACTCTTTGTATACAACCATCAACACTGAAATGACTTGGATCTATACTACACAGTTAATAGTCTTTGGGAGGTTAGAAAACTTTATGTCTGCTTCAGGTTTCAGATTCAGAAATGTAGATGCTACTTCTCCAGAGACATGCTTGAGGCACCATATGAATTGTCTAAATAAAGTTTGTGTTGATCGGCGTTCTTAAACATTCCTGAATATAAATATGTTGTGTAGTGATGGAGCTACCCTCATGTCAGTGTGAATCCTCATCCAGTGTATTAAAATTCACCACCACCACCCCACTGGGTCTGAGTGAAAGGCTCAAATGGAAGAAACTTGCTCCCATCTTCCGGTATTCTTGTCAGTGGGTACAAAGACACTGATATAATAGACAAACCTGAATTTTAAATTGAATTAAGTTTTATTAATATTTAATGCAATTATCTATTTAGGGTCTTGATGCTCTTCATCAGTTCACAGACAATATGTTGTCGAAGGCTTTTACGGCCGGAGTTCATTAGCTGCTGTAGATTTTCCGGGTTTTGTGGCCATGGTTTTGGCATTGTAGGACCTGAAGTTTCGCCAGTAGCTGTGACTGGCATCCTCAGAGGTATAACACAGAAAGATAGAGTACTCTCTGTGTCAAGGGTTGATAGAGTACTATATCTTTCTGTGTTATACCTCTGAGGATGCCAGTCACAGCTACTGGCGAAACTTCAGGTCCTACAATGCCAAAACCATGGCCACAAAACCCGGAAAATCTACAGCAGCTAATTCATAGACACTTAAGTACCCTTAGCTTTCCTCAACACAATACTTCTGGCCGCAGATCTGATTAGAAGATACACAGATAACAGCAGCAGTTTCTAAGATTATAGACACTAGTAAAGTGGCTCATCTGTGTGCAGCCCAACTCACACTAACATTTCCTTATCCCACTGAATGCAAACATGTAACCAAGCATACAATTCGAAACCCAAAGAGAAACTCACTAGTTGAGGGCACTCATCAACCTGCAGGAAGACAGAACAAATGAAGGAAAATCACACGTATAGTTAGAATACAAGTCTGGTGGATCAGAAAACAGTAAATAAAAACAATTTATTTTATTTGCTAATGCTCTGCAACGGTGAAGTGTGAGTTCCAGCTAAAACAAAACAGTATATCACTCAACATGCTCAAGTGTCTTGCTGATGAGCTGTGTATGTTTTGAAGAACACAGAACATGTTGAAAGAAGGCACCAAAAACAAGGCTATCTGGTTGTGTAGCTCACAGGATTTACATATTTATTTTCCTTTCATGTAATTTTTTATAACATTGCAACCAGAATCATTCTTTTTGTACATGCTACTTTCAACAGGAAGTCATGGGTTTTCACTCTTTATTCTTTCAATCCATGGAACAAACTTAGATACTCGAACATAAACGCCAGGCTTCATAGGCTGGGCACAGCCAAGACCCCAGGAGGTGACTCCCTGCAGGACATATTTTCCCTGCTCTTCACAGACTAGAGGCCCTCCACTGTCACCCTATAAAGGAGAAGGAAAGGAAATGAATGGAATTTGATATAATCCAATATATGGACTTGACTGCCTAACTCAAGTACCATATCTTGTTGTTTCACACAGATATTCAGACACAGGGCACAAGAATCATGGACACTGTGAGATCTCAGAGAGCTCAAAGAAACAATCCATGTTTGCCAATCCAGAAAATCAGGTCATGCAGCCTCCATTTGCCTTGGAATCACACAGGGAAGGAATCGTACAGGTTCACAACCAGGGTCTCTGCTTTATTAGCATTATGAAGCAGAATGCATGCCTTTTCTCTTTTAAAAAGCTGTTTCTTGAAATCCTGATTCTCAAAGTGAGAAGAAGCAGATACTGTTCCCAAGCTAGGAGGCTCTTCTTCTACAAACTAATGGACTGAACCTATCCTTGACCTCCATTACAAAAAAATAAAATCAAAATCGTTCTACGTACAAATGTTTTGAGCATAGGGTCAATCTGCCTAAGAGGAGAGTGGGACTCTTGTGTACTAGTTCTGCTCATCAGCAAGCACATTGGCCCTGTCTCCTGCCTACATGCACTTACCCCGGTCAGTGGTGGACAACGGGAGCTGGTAGTGTTGTCAGATCCAGGTGGAGGAGCTCCTGGGGATTTGGGGATGGAGCTTGGGGAGGGTAAGGGCCTCAGTGGAGTACAAGACCACATAGTCCACCCTCCAAAGCATCCATTTTCTCCAGTGGAACTGATCTCTGTAGTCTGGAGATGAGTTGTAATTCCGGGGCATCCCCAGTTCCCACCTGGAGGCTGGCATCCCTACTTCTTGTGTATGCAACAAGCACAGAATTACACCTGTAGATTTCCTCTCTGTGACTGAGGACATTAATAAAGCAGTATTCCTGATCATGGAGACAGCACGCAAGTGCAGAGTTTGTATGCACGTAGTCACTGTGTCCTTGTGAACATGCAATGGACTAGCCACTCATTCATCCACAGGACCAGCATGCTTAGTTCTGCCCCCATCTACATGGTTGTCACATAAAAGTTAAAGACATGAGGAAACAGAAAGAATAGTGAAGGTTGTCATGGCCCCTGTGCTGGATTCAGAGAGACTATAGCAGAGTGCTTATTAAGGTAGCCACTTTGAATGGAATCACACCATCTTGCTTTCTGTCCTAGTGATCACAATTTCTGGATGTTAGTCTGGTCACCTGAGACTTCCAATGTGTCGGGCCTTCTTAAATTAGTTTTTCCATGGCATTTTTTTGGATTTGCCTGCCATTGCATAATGGGATGAAAGTGTGAGAAGTTTATCACTAGATAAATTGTTTATCCAGCAGAACTGAATTCAGGTGAAAGAAAATGACTGTTTGAAATGCTGTCACCTGAAGACTGCTCTCCATGGGAACTGCTCCCACATTAAGAACTCCAGCTCTTGCATTGCCGCTACAAACATGGTAAGGATCGGAGGTACAATATAAAAGGTTACTTACATGCAACCAGTTCCCCATACTGAGTAGTCTAGGCCAATGGTGTTTGGCCATTCCAGACTTTAACACCCCAGGTGACAGCATGTGACCCACTGACCACATAACAGGAAGTCACATGATAAAAGAAACCAGAGTCTCTGAACCTGCCTGGGCTAAGAAAAGGAACGTTCTTCACCACTGAGTGACCCCTTGCCACGTCATCCTGCTGCTCCTCACAGCCATGCATGCAAAGACAGACATAAGGCAGAACACCCTTGCTCTCTGCACATGTGCACGGGCAAAAAGCAGCAAAAACGGAGGCTCAAAACAGGACTCACAACCCAACTGGTGGGGTTCTCTGACCCAATTAAGGGTCCCAATCCACGAGCTGGTCCAATTTAAAATATCCACTACAGAGTTGCTTCTCCTTTGAATTCAATTAAAGCACTTACTGTGCAAAGGAAAAAAGGAGAATAGAAGAAAACAACACAGTATGCCTTTCTGATAGATCCCAAAAATGAGATAGGCCTGCTCTGCTTCACGTTTCGAATCCCAGCTCATTTAACCGAATGAAATGCGATCTACTTTCCAGTAGGTCTTCTCGATTCTTGTGCTGTTTGGAATGCGTAGGTGCCCGGTTCATACAAAGCCTTTACAAGTAACACCCCAAATCATTTATTTTATGTATGAAATCAATCCTGCTGTCATCAGCCAAGCTTACCTGACAACTATCCGTACCACCGTCAATATTACCAGCACAGAGTTCAGTGCTTCTGACTCTGCCATTCAGAAATTCAGGCCGATTACACTGTTTGTTTTCAATTACAGGGAAGCCAGTCTCCTTCAGAGTGCCTTCTCCGCCAGTTCCTTTGCAGACAAGGCAAAAATGTATAACTAAATAGAATGAACAGCACCTGAACAACGTATATGTCATGTTCCAATAAGCAGGGTAAGGGAATCCAATGAGCGGGGTAAGAGTAAATTCCCCTCGTTTCAGCTTTTTACATGAAGGTAATTAATACTACAGAACCCCTTTCTCATTTCTCCATGGTAGGAAATAAATTATATTTTAGTTAGGTCATGTGCTTGAGATGTAATAATAAATATTAGCGAAGTATTAGGCAAAGTAATAACATCCCAACAATTCACCCTATCACAAAGCTTTTAGCTTTTGGGATAGAAGTCACACCCAGCAGCATTTGTGGTGCTGTGAATGTACTGCTTGCTTGGCCTCTGCAACAGTACAGGGGCATCAGCGATTAGTGGCTTTGCTGATGGGTGGGGGTTGCGCTTGTATTCTTTAACCAAAGCAGATCTCATTCTCTGCAGTCAGCACTTGTGTGGGATGGTGGAGTACGTTGTTGCAAGCTTCTCAAAGTGTGGGCTAAGCCAACCATTTCTCATTCTCGATTTCCAGAAGTCAAACACAAGAGATGAGATGGAACATTTTTAAAAAATTATTCGCCTTTTATTAAAGACAATGTTGGTCATTAGATGAGGAAAATGTAACAAGTACTCCTCTATGCTTGTGTTTTTGTTTGATTTATTTGTTTGTTTAAGTGTATTATAAAATGTTAATTTTTTTCATTAAACATGGAATTACGGGGGGAAAATTCTTCAATAAGAAAACAGGAGGCAGGTGCATACTTTTGAACAGCAATATACAGCCACATTGTGTAGCCAGTTACAATGGACCATGACATACCATATACTGCTGGATGTGATGTAGCTAGTGTAGAGATCTGCACTAAACTGGATGCAGTTTAAGGATAAAGTCACATAACCTTTTCCTGTAGTCACTTGATGATGGAGATCCAAATTCTATGACAGCCTAAAAAAGGTCAACTCTGCACTTCAGTTTCTAGACTGCACAAGATAAATCAAGCTTTCCAAATGTATGTTGTGCTATGACTGCCAGAACATGTTGGCTGTTCTCCCAGTGGTTGCACATGGATTTCTGCCTCAAGTATGCTTATAGTGGAAATAAATTATCCATGTAAAAGTACCCTTAGACATTCTGCAAAGAATCTTAGGTACTACACTTCACACGTAGGAGCAGTAACAATGTGCACCTCACCTCACAAAGCTACAAATCAAGCCTCAGGAGGCACATCTCAACCTCTAACTCCCCCCCCCCCGGGATTCTTCCAGCTTTCCTTAAAACAAGCAATTGCTAGATTGTTGTAGTGTATAGTATAGATTGCTATACATTGCAACAATCTATTGCCATGATCTATTAGCTCCTTTGAATTCCTAGCTTTTGTTTTCATTTTAAAAAAGCCTTTTCAGAGAGCAAATAGATTGTGGGCCCTGACTGGATTCAGGACAAGCATCCTGTCCTATTATATAAAAGGGTAGTGGTCTGGCAACGTTCTATGCTTGGCAAAATCAGTTCGATGCCTGATCTGGCACTCAGGGCCACAGAGGGCTTGAATGGGGTACTGGTCACAGGGGCTGGGCCTGGCTGGGCCACAAGGGGCTTGAACAGGGGGGTGGGAGAGCCAAGGCTGGCCTGGCTGGGTCGCAGGGCCTTGAACGGGGGGGGGGGTGGAAGAGCCAAGGCTGGCCTGGCTGGGTCGCAGGGCCTTGAACGGGGGGGGGGGTGGAAGAGCCAAGGCTGGCCTGGCTGGGTCGCAGGGCCTTGAACGGGGGGGGGGGTGGAAGAGCCAAGGCTGGCCTGGCTGGGTCGCAGGGCCTTGAACGGGGGGGGGGGTGGAAGAGCCAAGGCTGGCCTGGCTGGGTCGCAGGGCCTTGAACGGGGGGGGGGGTGGAAGAGCCAAGGCTGGCCTGGCTGGGTCGCAGGGCCTTGAACGGGGGGGGGGGTGGAAGAGCCAAGGCTGGCCTGGCTGGGTCGCAGGGCCTTGAACGGGGGGGGGGGTGGAAGAGCCAAGGCTGGCCTGGCTGGGTCGCAGGGCCTTGAACGGGGGGGGGGGTGGAAGAGCCAAGGCTGGCCTGGCTGGGTCGCAGGGCCTTGAACGGGGGGGGGGGTGGAAGAGCCAAGGCTGGCCTGGCTGGGTCGCAGGGCCTTGAACGGGGGGGTGGGAGAGCCCCGGGCAGCCTGGCTGGGCCGCAGGGGGCTTGACCAGGAGGGGGAGCCCCAGACAACCTTAGTGTGTGTGTGAGACTTTACGTCCACTTCTGTACCTTTCTATGCATTCGTTACACATCACATCTTTCTAGAGCTCGTTGTATTCCTTCTACAATGAGCTTTACTGCTAGTATGAGACATAATTTATTATAATCATTGTATATTTGTTACAGATTTTAAATTATGAAGTTTTGCTTATAAGAAATTTCGACATTGTTGGTTGAATTATGGAATTTGCTTAGAAGAAGGTTTCTTATTAGAAGGAAGAACCATTTTTCTTGCTTTTGAGAACATTATATGTGGGACAAAACTTCTGTTCAAATTATACTGTAATATTTTGATTTTCTAATCCATTGGAAATATATGTTGTTATTGTGCTTTTAAATTGTTGTCATAGTACTATTATAACCACAGGCTATACCCTGACTGGATAGCCCAGGCTGGCCCAATCTTGTCAGATCTCATAAGCTAAGCAGGTTTGGCTCTGGTTAGCATTTGGATGGGATTCCACCAAGGAATTCCAGGGTCGCTATGTAGAGGAAGGCAAACCACCTCTGAACATCTCTTGCCTTGAAAACCCTACGCGGCCACCATAAATCAGCTATGACTTGGAAGCAAAAAGGGGGTGGGGTTATAATATGAACTCACCTTTTGTTTCACCCCATCCTGTGACAAAGCATTCTGCTCTGTCTGCTACCACAGTATTGGCTGAAGGCAAACATGCGGGAATTATCTCATTGGTGATCGGAACAGGGCTGAAAGAAACATGTTTATGAGGTTTGACTTTGGCTCCATTTTTTAAAAAATACTGTTACAGTTATCCTGGACAGATTTGTATGAAAAGTGTTCTGCCATGTGAACCTTTAGGCAGCAATGTTTATGTTTTTTTTTAAGCAAGGCACTCCTAGAACACTAACGTTCTCTAGTATATCTGTTTTATCAAAGGTACTATGTATGCTGTTTCCAGCCAAGTTTAACTGGTAAGAGCCCAGAACCCCAGCATCAAGCAATATCCAGTTCTTATTTGCATTCTCCTGTAGCCTGATCACGCATGCTTTCTCCAAAGTAAGTCCTACTTCCGAGGAAATACGCATAAGCCTGGGTGAAGAAAGACAATGTTTTTAAAGCAGTGGAGCTGGTTTGGAAGCACCCTTGCTGTGTTCTATATAAATGTACCTTTTCCCCACCTGAGTTAAGTTGTACAAACTTGCAGCAAAAGCTAGCTGTGGAGGTAGGGCTGCCAGGTCCCCCGGGAGGGTGGAGGTTCCCCCGCTAAAACGGTTCCCAATCTGCCGGTCCGGAAAAGGCGAGCAGGGGGAAACCCGCCCCCAAAGTGCCTGCTTCGGGCTGACGTGCCCGGCGCGATGACGTCACCCGGAGGTAACATCATCGCGCCGGGCACGTTGCCGGCTGACCATAGAGTTTTCAGGCTGATTGCTAGAGCATCAGCCGGCGACGTGCCCAACGTGATGACGTCACTTTCGGGTGATGTCATCATGGCGTGTGCGTACTTCACACACGCACAAATGTCCCAGGCAGGGACCAACTCTCCCCCGCTATTAGCAATAAGTGACTTGGCAAGCTTATGTGGAGGATACCAATTGGTAAGTACACATGAAGCTGCCTTATACTGAATTAGACCATTGGTCTATCAAAGTCAGTACTGTCTACTCAGACTGGTAGTGGCTCTCCAGGGTCTCAGGCAGAGGTTTTCTACATCACCTCCTACCTGAGGCTTTTAGCTGGAGATGCCAAGGGACTGTACCTGGGACCTTCTGCATGCCAAGAAAATGTTCTACCACTGCCACAGTCTCTTCCAAAAGTACCTATGAAGTTGCTTTGAAAACTGTTATCCGATGCTTCTAGAAGAACAGTCTGCTAGAAATGTGGGAGAGGGAGCAGACTGATGACTGATTAAGCATTCAAATTTCCCAGTGCACACGTGAAAAGCTGTGAAGCTGAAATCAGCCTACAGGTGAAGAGCTTGCTGTAAACGTTGTTGAAACGCTTTGCTGTCCTCCGTTAACACTCCAAAGTTGTGACAGGAGAACATTTTGCTCACATAATATTTTCCTCATTCAGTGGAAGTATGTTGGAACAGAAGCCAAGATGTATTTGTTTTATACAAGTAACTACTAACAGACTCGACTGTTCAACTAAACTACAATACTAACACCAAGTCACTATCTCTAAATATGTATATAACACAAAACATGATGCAAACCGATCATTATTGCTCCATTAAGAAGAAAAATGTGGCGATTGTTTCACATGGAATGCTGTAGCAACTTCCTGCAGTTATTCGAATCACACAAAGCCAATATTCTCCTCCTGCTTCGCCCAGACTGTTAAAACTACTGGCAGTCATTTCCCAATGTTGAATACTACCCACTCACTTTCATGTCACAGTAGTTTACCATGTTACAAAAATGACACTTGCATTGGGAACTAAACAGAGTAAGAACTATGATCCAAGGGATACCTGCTCAGTTTCAGCAAGGCAATATCTGCGCCACTTGGTTCCTTGAACATCTTTTCAACATTACGGACTTGTACTGATGGCTCCATAGCCCTCTCCCTGTGTAAACCAAGTGCCACTTTGTAAGCAGAAGGTCTTGATGACCTAGAAGAGAGAATTTTGTTGGGTAAGAACACATCCAGACAACCAGGACTCATGTCCATTCATGCAGCTGAAGAGGACAAGAGCCCCCTGAACTTGTTAGAGATAATGCTGGGCTTTTAATATTTTGGCTTGTATTTTCATACTTAAGGCTCCTCCAAATGCCCCAAATTTTGTAAAGTGCTAAATATTTTCCTTGTAAGTTAACCCCCCCCTCTAAAAGTAGCCATTTCCATTAGGTCTCCAAAGTCAATGAAAATACAGTCAAGTTGATAGAACAATTTATAGGCTACTTTCATTTTTGCCTTCTATCCCTTTCTTTGAAAGATTTAATCTGATTCAGTTCCCCACCCCCGCTCCCACACACTCAATTGCTCTGGCACCTGCCTACATTTTTCTTTCTCTCTCTGTTTCTCTGGAGAAAAAGATACCACACTGTGTTGGACTAGAGATGAACTCTTGGTTAGCTCTAGCTCACCATTAAAAAAGAAAAAGAAAAGCTCTGCTCTACTTATGTTCTTGTGATCTCAGCCACAGGTACATTTGTGAGTTATGAAAAATGCCCATTTCAGAATCCTTATAGAATGGTTCCCAACCAACAGACTCTAGTAACTGTAACAAAGGGGCAAGGAATCTCTAAGAAAGTATTCTCATAAAGCTAACGGAGTTCTTGGGGAAAATCACAACAGCTAAACCAGTAGAACAGCTAGACTCGAGTTCACTCGCACCTTAGAGACTAACAAAAATCTTGTTTTTCTCTTCGTCTTTTTTTTTTGTCCCCTGTAGGGGATTTTTTATTGCATTTTCTAATAACTACAAACAGAAAAAAATGGGAAGGGGGGACTACAATCTATAGGAGAAAGTAAAGGAAACCCTCTAAAACCCAACAATTCTAACTTCATAAAAAGACTGTGAATATAGGTATAAAATAAGCATGTTTTAGGTACTCCAGAGTGCATTAACAATCTATTTTTTCCCCTTTCTGTGTCTCAATTGATAGTTTGGTTTGGGGCCAACAGCCCCCAATTTAGAGTCTGAGTCCTCATCAGAAGATCCAGCCTCTCCTTCTTCCTCGCTCTCTTTGGAGCCATCGGTTACTCCTTCTCCTGTTGATGCAAAAACTTGCAGGCCTTTTCAACAGAGTCAATCCTTTCTTTACCATTTGCATATCTGAAGATTAATCCTTTGGGTATTAACCATCTGTAGGAAATGTTGTGAATTTGTAGAAATGAAACCAAGTCTCTATATTTCCTTCTCTTCCTTCTTATCTCGAATGAAATGTCTTTCAGAACTTTTATGTCTTTGTCTTTTATCTTCAAGTTCATTGGTCGCTTTCAATAGTTGATATCTCGCTTTTCTTCAGGAGAAGCTTATTGTGACTTCCCCTGGCAGATTATTCTTTCTGGTAAATTCTGAATATGATCTGAAGACCGTATCTATTTTGCTTTGAAGTTGCCCCACTGACATCTCTGCCAAGGGAGCCAACAAATCGCCAACAATCTGTCTCAAATTCTCCCCTTTCTCTTCCTGGATACTTTGAAGTCTCAAGACATAGTTTGCCCTTTCCATTTGCAACTGTAGTACATGAGACTCTTCGATTTGGCACTTTTTTTCCAATGCCTGCAGTTTTTTATTCATCTTTTTTGAGCTGGAATCAATCTCTTTAAGCTCCTGCTCCATTTTTTCAATTTTCTGTGTATCCGCAGCCATTTGTGCTTGTTGTACATTGAGCTTATTGTCAATAGCAGTGATTTTCTCCAGCAGGGGGCAAAGCGCTTCCGACAGCAACCTTTGGAGTTCTGCAGTTGAGTCCTGTCTAGGAACAGAACTTGCAGGGATGGAACTTCTGGGAGGAAGCTTAACTTTCGCTTGTTTGTCGTTAGGATCCTTCACAGGCGGTGCCATGTTTGAGAATTGTTTACTTTTGTTAAAAGTTTGTCAAAGTCTCTGGAAGCTCTTATACAACGTGGTAAGTTCTCACAGTCCCTTTATTTCAGTCCAATCACTTTTTACTGTAAGCCCCCCCCCCTTTTTTGGCTTTGGAATCACTTGTAAGCAGTTCTTAACAGGGGGGAGTCCCCTCCCCCCCTTGTTTTCTTTCAGGGAGGCACGTTATTTTTCGGTGTTTCCACTTGTACTTAGACTCACATTTTCAACGATTGCCCTCTTGCATTTAAAATCGCTTGATCGCCATACGCTTGCTCTGGTGTGCTGATCTTGTTCCTATTCAGGACGCTCCATGGCGGGACCGTCGTAGCTTGGAGGAGCCCCCCCGCTCTGGCTGGACGCGCCGGGGGAGAGCTCTCTAGTGCCCCATGGCTGGGAATGCAACCCAAGGACTCCTGGGGTGGTGCGGACAATCACACTCCCTCCCAGCCGTAGGCGCTGGCAGATTTCTCCCGGATCCCCGGAAGAAAACAACTGCCATGGCAATCGCCGAGACCGGAAACTCCAAAACTCTTGTTTTTCTCGAAGGTGTTACTGGACTCGAATCTAATAGTTAAACTACTTTGTTTAAAATGCACACTATATACTATAAATGTTTAGTGCATTCATGTACCCAGAGATAGTTCATAGCAACAGCAACATGCTGACTTTGGCAGAAAGACTCTTCTGTTTGTCTGTCCAGGGACAAGAGCCACTAGTGCCAGAAAAGCTTACCGTTCTAAGCAGTGAGTGGCAGTCAGAACCCACTGTGGATCTATCAAAGTGCCTCCACAGAAGTGCATATTGAAACTGAAAGAGAGAGGAAAGGAAGAAGATTAATTTTAGACAAAGCAGTTCACACTTCATAGTGCTCTGAGGTGGACTGTTTGTCAAATCTTCAGGCTCTCTCATTCACAGGCACTCCACAGAAGCAGTCAGAGCATCTCTTTTGAGAATCCTTTAGTTTCAATAGACCTGCCCTGGTGTTCAAGAGCATGATGAGGCAGCACTAGTGTGCACAGTGAGTAAGGACCTAACTATATGTAGACAGTCTCACACACACACTGGCCCATTCTGCATCTAGCATTCTCTCTGTTGTTTTACCAAACCCACACTGGAACAGAAAAAGATGCGGCTCAAAGCAACATTCAAATACCCTGGGCCAACCCCGTACTGACTGCAGAGTCACCCCTGAACGGCCATAAAATGGCCATAAAACTATGCAGACAGTACCATAAAACCGAGAGATCAAAGGAAGTGAAACGGGCATGATAGTGTGGACACTACCATAAAATCCGACAATCAAAGAAAGTGAAAGTGGCATGCAAGGTAGAGCGGAATTTCTGCTCCATCATGGGTTTGGTAAAACAGCGGAGGGAATGCTAGATGCAGAATGGGTCTCAGAGTCGAGAGAGATGTTCACCTCTATATCTATCAACCAGACAGTTTAAGCATTTGGCCATGTAATAAATTTAAAGCAATAGCCTGTTTCCTGATGTGCCATCCAAGTGTTAAAGTATAACATGGGGGAGGGTTCCATGTCTAACACCTATCATTCTTCCTCTGTTCCCAAGCCAAGATGAAAAGCTTGAGATCCCACCTTTGAATATCAAAGCAATCTGACTTAACTACACTCAGATGAGGGGGGTAGTCTTGCTCTTCTTCATGAATAATCTTTTGGATCACGTTCTTGATTGTCAGTGGTCCAGTTTTCCTATAAAGTTGGCTTCCTTCCAACCATCTGGCACAAGTTTTCCAAGCATGGGCCACTAATACCATCAGGGCCAGGGATCATCTCACTGCATCCCCAATCTACTGCTTTGTTACTTATGCTGATTTGAAGATGTTGTAAGTAACAGGCCTGCCGTCACGTATGTATGTGTATGTAGAAAGACAGATTTTGTTACTTTATTGCACATGCTTATTCTTGCCTTATGCTCAAGCCTGAACCACCTTTTAAATCTCTCCAATAAAGCCTGTTGCTTTTATTGATGTGTTCTATTGATGAGGGACCGCCTTTCCCCGTATGTCCCCCCAAGAGCGCTACGGTCGGGGGCCCAAAACCTTCTAACCATACCGGGCCCCAAGGATGCTAGACTGGTCGTCACGAGGGCTAGGGCTTTCTCGGTGGCGGCCCCTGCCTGGTGGAACGAGCTCCCGGAGGAGATCCGGGCCCTGCGGGATCTGATGCAGTTCCGCAGGGCCTGCAAGACGGAGCTCTTCCACCAGGCTTTCGATTAGGGGCCGCCGCCGCCCCCCCGCTATATACCATCAATTGTGGGGGGGCGAGGGCCCTAGGAGGCTAAGAGGAACATCTGAGGAACATCTGTTTGGCATCTCTTACACTATGCCTACCAGGGGATGTTTGGTGTGTGGTTTGTCCTCTCTGATATCTTGGTATGGACGCTGTGTAGTCTGAGCACTTTATTATTTGATTGGGTTTTAAACTGTATAGTATGTTTTTTAAATGTACTAAAGTATTGATGTTTTTATGAGCAAGTTTTTGCCATATAAGCCGCCCTGAGCCCTACGGGGGAGGGCGGGGTATAAATTTAATAAATAAATAAATAAATAAATTCTACTGCATGTGTGAGAATCCAAACCTAGTCTCTGTCAAAGGATCAAAAGGGGATTCTTTCCAGGGTCCCAGGTCTGGGGGAAAGGGGAATCAAATCATCCTTGCAGGGACATGGTGGGTTGGAAACTCCTGTCTTTGATACACATGTACCCCATGTTCCTTGGAGGGGCAGTGTTTGGGTGGTGCTGTTCAAAGTGATCATTTACATTTTTACATCTTGAAGCAACTTTAGGGCAGGCCTGAGTAATTTCATTAAGAGCCTTCACTCAAAACTTACTTTCCATCAGACATACAAGTTTGCTGCATCTATTCCCTCACAGACACAAATAAACACAATTGAAAGGTACTTTGTACTGTAATAAAATGTACTTTTTAAATACCTTGTTCGGACACTGATCTGCCATGGCCAAGAATGGGGTTTTGAAATACACCCACCAACAATCCTTCCGAAACACCGATTTGGTTCATATTTGGCTTTCCCACATTCGTATTCAGGAGGAGCTGAAGAATTAAACTGATTATGAAACATCTCAATAATAGGTATTTGTAACTTTTAATATGTCCCTTTTCACCAGTTTCCCTACCGACCAACTATCAGTCCAAACCTGATTCCCTTCGCCAGCCTTCTAAACTTTCAGCTAGATGACAGAATGAAGAATGCTCAGGATACTCTTCTGTAGCCTTTTTTGCCATTATATTGTATCTGTCTGTTTCTGGATTGGCTGAGTTGACTAGAGACGATGTAGCTGGACAACTCAGGGGAGCACTGACTCATATAACCTTCCCGTGTTCTGTGTTCTCCTGTGACTTAAGTAAATTTGACTTGGGTCAGCAGAAGTGTTGTTCACATATGTGTATCGACTGTCAGTGCAGTATAAAGGTCACAGTATTGAACTAGGATCCCCATGCTCGGTGACCTTCCACCAGTCACACAGTGTAACCTACCTCACAGGGTTGTGCCAGGGGCTGTAGCTCACTGGCAGAGATTCTGCTTGGCATGCAAAAGGTCCCAGGTTCAATCCCTGGCATTTCCAGTAAAAAGGATCAATTAAGGACAGTGTGGTGTAGTGGTTAGGAGTGTGGACTGTAATCCGGGAGAACCAGATTTGATTCCCCACTCCCCCACATGCAGCTGCTGGTGTGGGTGTGACCTTGGGTCAGTTACAAATCCTTTCAGAGCTGTTCTCTCACAAGCAGTTCTTGAAAGAGCTTTCTCAGCCCCACCTACCTCACAGGGTGTCTGTTGTAGGGAGGGGAAGGGAAAGGGATTGTAAGCCGCTCTGAGATTCTTTTGGGTAGTGAAGGGCGGGGTATAAATCCAATCTCCTCTTCTCCTCTTTTCTAGGAGGTGATGTGAAACATCCCAGCCTGAGATCCTGGAGAGCCCATCTGACATTTTCCACAGGAACGGCTCTCCCCACTCCTGCATTTGTATTCCTCCTTCACTCATTTCTGCAGATGTTTTTGCAGTCCCTCTCTTGCGGCACAGCTTCAGACTTCCATGTTTCTGGAAATTCCCTTGCTGTGCCACAAGAGGGGGCAAACTCCTGGGATTACAAAAACTTTTTTATTCCTGGGACTACAAAAACCTATGCGGAAATGAGCGAAAGCAGCGGAGGAATATAAATGCAGGAGTGGGGAGAGCTGTTCATGTAGAAAACGTAGACAATATTGACTTTGATGGACCAAGTGTCTGATTCAGTATAAGGGAGCATCATGTATTGATGTGTTGTTGTGAAGATACAATGGAAGACAGCCATGTACACTGCTCTGAACTGCCTGGAGGAAGGCAGTAGAATGTGCTATATATTAGTGACTTGGGAATTACATCAAATTGCAATAGTCCTAGAAAATTTATTCCTCTGAATGGGTACTGTAGGTCTAACTTTGTTTACAATACAGTAGAACAAACTGGGGAAGGGGAAGATTGTGCATGCCCCTCGCACATTCTTTGTTTAATTCTCATTAACAGGTCGGTGTCAGCTAGGCTGCCATAATGTTTATGGGTTTCAGTTCACTCGCTTGACCTGTGTACCAGCCAGGCCTGCATTCCATTCTCCGGCACCTCTACTCCTTATCACTGACCTTGTAGCTCGCTTGTGTAGTGTCTTCCCATCTTTCAACCGTGGGACTAGTTTCGTTTCCTCGCCTACAACAGTTCTTCCCGCCCGCGGGAGAGTGCCTAATTGGCCCATTGATGGGGGGGGGGGGCCTTTTGAGTGTACTATATCTATACCTGTTTGCTTAGTATTAGTTATTCCTAACAATGAATATGTTTCTGCTGCCATAGTTCTCACAATAAAGTAAAACTTTCTTGGAAGTGTGTGCTGAAGTGATTGACTGTGGGTCCTAGCAGTCGGTAATAGGAGCTTTACACAAGCAAGCTGATAACACCAGTTTATCATGGAGGGAGATCGAAATGTATAAATGACCCTATGAGTATTCTCTGAAGGCAGAATTAGATCTTGCACCCCTCTTCCCATACAGCCTAGTTACAGAAACACATGACATGATATCATAAAATTACATCTTTCTCTTCCCTCAGCAATAGCCAATAGGAAGAAGATGATTGCATGCATATTTCTGTAACTACAGGTCATGGGGGAAAGTGGAAGAACCTGTCACAAGGCTAACATTCCCCATTTTCAGCAACAACTCCATGTTGATCATCAGGCCTAGTTCCAGCCTGAGACTGTGCTTGAAATGAAAACTAAAAAACATGTAAAATGAAATATAGCAAAACTGATAAAACTATTAGTATATTTACGGCAATTTGGGATGTCACAGTAGTCCCAACTTTTTTGGGGGTCTGTGGTATAGCACCAAGGTCCGTTAATATCACCATCTGGATTTCTGCAATACTGGAGAAATAAAAAAAAATTAAAAATTAACAACAGAACATAACAATATTTGTTTTTGGACCCCACCATTTATCCATATTTCCATTTCTATATCTCTGTTTTGTGGCCTTCTGTCCTTTATTATATTCAATATGAAGCTGAAACAAAATTTTAGTTTCTTAAAAGTTGTGCAAATATACCATATAGAAGTCATATGGTTACAAAAATGGTTATGGAAAGTATGCATCCTTTCTTTTGTTTCGCTCCTAGGCCAATGAACTTTGGTGAAGGAGATTTACAGTGCAATCCAAAAACCAGTTTTCGGGGAGTATAACCCTGAAAAACCCTGAGCAGAATTCTGAGTAGACCTGTTAAAGATAGCTTTCATATTTTGTTCAAAGAAAGGTACAGCGATTTCACCAGTCTAGTTTGTGGTTGCTGTGGCTGATGAAGGATTGGATGCAAACAGCACATGACCCAAGGTACTTGAAGTTTATCCTCTCTTATTTATTTATTTATTATTTCAGTTTATATCCTGCCCTTCCCACAAACGGGCTCAGGGCGGCTGACAACAATAAATAATACAATCTAAAATAATACAGTCAAATAATGCAGTAAAACCAGTTTGAAACATTTAAAATGGGCAGCGCAATGCATATAATTCCAGTTTCTACAGCCGGGAAGATAAGTGGGCCAGTGCCAACCATGATGGTCTCATGTAGCAGCAGTAGGGAGGCCAGCTGGTAGATGCCCACTGCCTCAGCCAAAGGCCTGGCAGAACAGCTCCATTTTCCAGGCCCTGCAAAACTGCAGCAGGTCTCGCAGGGCCCTGATCTCAATTAGGAGCATGTTCCACCAGGCTGGGACCAGAACTGAAAAAGCCCTGGCCCTGGTTGAAGCTAGATGGGCATCTTTTGGGCCGGGGACAACCAGCAGATGGCTATCCACAGAGTGTGAGGCTCTCCAGGACAGATATGGGGAGAGGCGGTCCCGTAGATATGTTGGTCTCAGGCTGTATAAGGCTTTAAAGGTCAGTACCAACAGCTTGGAACAGATCCGGTTCTCAATTGGTAGCCACTGCAGTTAGCAGAGCAGAGGTCGCAGTCAGCAGGTGTGCCGCCGCATTTTGCACTAGCTGGAGTTTCTGGATCAGCCTCAAGGGTAAGCCCACATAGAGCGAGTTACAGTAATCAAGCCTGGAAGTTACCACTGCATGGGTTATTGTGGCTGAGTCCTGGGGGGGGGGGGGGGGGGGGGCACCACAGCTGCCTGATCTGCTGCAGATGGTAAAAGGCAGACCTGGCGACTGCAACGACCTGGGCCTCCATGGAAAGTGAGGCATCCAAGATAACCCCCAGGCTCCTCACCTTCTGGGTTGGAACCAACAGTGCTCCGTCCAGGGTCTGGAGCCTAATCCCCGAATCTACTCCTCCCCGGCTCAGATACAAAACCTCCGTCTTTGAAGGATTTAACTTCAGCCAAATCTGTCGCAACCACCGAGCCACAGCCTCTAGAGCACTGTCCAAGCTCTCAGGGGTGGAATCCAGGTGGCCGTCCAACATCAGATAGAGCTGGGTGTCATCAGCGTATTTATGACACCCTAGCCTATGCCTCCGGGCAATCTCGGCGAGGGGGCGCATGTAGATGTTAAATGCTCCCCTGCAGCACTCCACATTCTAGTAGGTGTCGTGTCCTATCTTTCAACCATCAGGAACTTGGCAGCTTACATAGGTTTCCCATCAAGTTTCCAACCCAGGTCCTGACCTAGGGTTGCTCACTCTGAGTTGGGAAATCTAGAGGCAAATCCTGAGGAGGGCAGAGTTGGGAATAGGAAGGAGCTCAGCGGTGACATAATGCCATAAAGCCCATGTGCCAAAGCAGCCATTTCCTCCAGGGCAGGGGTCTTTTGGGGCCGGAGTGTGCTGGAACGTCGCTCTGGGAGCCCAGGAGCTTGCAAAATGGTGGCGGCAGCAAGCCCTGCCCCCAGCTTTCCCAGCTACGGCCTGTTGCCAGCCTCCCAGGGCCTGCGCTTGAGCACTGCGGCCCCAGGGAGGCCCGTCGCCAACTTCCCGGGCCAGCGCCGGAGCACTGCAGCCCAGAGGATGCCAGATGAGCACCCCTGCCGCCGCCTCCAGCCAGCACCGGAGCGCTGCGGCCCGTAGGAGGCCAGAAGAGGCCCATCACCGCCTCCTCCAGTCAGCGCCAGAGCGCTGAGGCCGGAGAAGGCAAGAAACGCCCCCCGCCCCCTCCACCCCCACCGGCCAGCGCCAGAGCACTGAGACCCCGAGGAGGCAAAAAGAGGGCCCCCGCCACCTCCTTCAGCCAGTGCCGGAGCACTGCGGGCCGGAGGAGGCAAGAAGAGCCCCCCCGCAGTCTCCTCCAGCCAGCGCTGGAGCGCCGTGGGCCGGAGGAGGCAAGAACAGCTCCCCCACTGCCACCTCCGACCAGCACGGGAGCACTGAGCCATGGAGGAGGACAGAAGAGGCCCCCCACCGCCTCCTCCGGCCAGCGCCAGAGCGCTGAGGCCCAGAGGAGGTGAGAAGAGGCCCGCCGCCGCCTCCCAGAGTAAGTGAGGGATCTGCAGGGGGTGGCAGAGGCTTGAGTGGGGTGGTGGGAGAGCCTTCCCCATCTCTTTGCCCTCTTTCTTTCCCTCCTTTCCTTCCCCTTTCCTTTTCTTTCCCTCCTTTTCTTTCTCTCTTTCTCTTCTCTTCCTTCCTTCCTCTCTTT